TTGCTGACGGGGCACGGCTGCTTTCGAGAATACCTGTTCAAATATGGGCATGATGACGGGACAGAGTGCTCATTCTGCGGTAGCGGCGACGAAAACGTACTACACGTATTTTTCCACTGCCGAAAATACGAGGCAGATCGAACAGACATAGAGCAGCTGATAAAGGAGAGCATGACGCCTGACAATATCGTGGGGCACATGATAAACTCAAAAGCGGTGTGGAGCAGAATTAAGGCGTGGTCCGCAATAGTCCTCCAGGAGCTAAGAGCGAAAGAACGACAGCGCAGTAGCGAAAAGAGAAGACTGAACGAGAGATAAGCCAGAAAGGCGTGTGTGAAGAGCCAATTGGCAAAGCTACGCCTTGCGACGTAATACCTAACGGCGGTCCCGCAAGGCGAAACACAAGGCTTCAGACGTCGGAGTTAAGGGTTTAGTACGTAGGCGCGCTGTCTCGCAAGTCCTGAATTATGTGATAACATAGTCTGGGCGTGGTCCCGAATGAGGTGCACCCTTAGCGGACAGGATGACGAATCGTGCATAACATCTTTGGAAGATTCCCCCTCCGTTGAAAAATTTTTTTTTTTTTTTTTTTTTTTTTTTTTTTTTTTCCGACCAATCGTACATTTGTATGTACATATATATGTTACATACAAATGTACGATTGGTCGGCTTTCGTCTTCCCCTCGCCGCTGCCTTCAACACAAATTATTCAATTTCTGCGAATCGGCACCAGATTTGCACGTGCGCGAAACCATTAACCCCATGTTTGCGAAAAATTTAGATTTTCGCATAAGTTTGCATTTAATAAAGCAATACTCGTACATTTTGTATGAAGAATAGTTTGAATTAATTTAAAATTCTGCATGTAACCATGTTCTCGACGATACATGTAACTTTCATCAAGATTAACCATAAAAATTGTGCTTCATTAACAGTTGGAACCAGCTGAAACCAACAAAACTATGTCCGCTAAATGGGTTAAAATCAAACTGGAATTGACATTTTTTACACGCATACATGCATACATTCATATACACATGTACAGTGGAGTAGCACTAACTTGGACATAGCATTGATTGTACTTTGATGTGTTTGAATCTTTTTATGGTACTGAAGATTTGGTTACGGATGAAAAAAATTTAAAATAATCTGTGGATATATATAAATATATTTTTATAAACTCTTAGAGGTATAGAAATTTTTAAAATTAAAAAATAAATCAAATAATTTGTTTGCATATATGCATATGGTGTTCAAGGCACATTGACCTACCTGTACAAAAATTGTGGCGCGTCATGGACAAAAATTTTATAATTTCGGACCGAAAAATATGAAAACGAGCTAAGTTTAGGGCTGCCAGACGTCCCGGTTTTCCCGGACATGTCCCGGTTTTAGACTATTTGTCCCGGTGTCCCGGTCCAACCTTAAAATGTCCCGGGTTTCGATTTGATTGAACAAATTTTGCATAAAAATGACTACACTGAGAGAAAAAACGCGTTGTAATATTAAGAAAAATTTTATGAATTTACTGGGGGAAATAACGCGTAGTAAACATGAATATTTTTTATTTGATTATCGTTTTGAAATGTTCGTACTTAAAAACAATACTTTCATACCACGCACACGTGGTGTTGAATCAAACTGAACATTTGAATGCACATTTACATGTCTGGCTGTAGCTGAGTGCACGAAGATGCTTGCCACAATTTGCTAATTTCCAGAGCGTCAGGGTTCAAATCCCATTACAGACAGCATGGAATTTAAATATATATTTTTTAACTTAATTATGAAAAAGCATCCGTTAAGTGCAAAGCGCTTCATTTTAATATTGGCGTATTCCAATTGAATATTTCTATACTAAATACTAAAATTTGTATACTTAAGTTTATTACGAGTTGGGTTGGTGCTCTTTCATATGCGAATTTTTTTTTTTAATTTAGCACGTTTTGCACAAGCAATAGTTGATGATTAATATAAGTATGTACCTAAATACGTTAAAATGACATGCACAGAGTTTTACAATTATATTAAGCAATAGCCAGAAGTTTTGAAACAAGCTCACAGCAACGAAACAAATTACTGATCCTGACCTTGTATTTAATTTTTTTTCTTTCGTGAAACCTAGATTACTTATAATTATAATATAATTACAATTTCTAATCAGATCTTTTAGAAAAATTTTGAAAATGTAGCTTTTGAGCCAATTAGTAAAGTGCAAGTCTGAAGTTACCAGAAAATTTCGTTGATTTTTTGCTGACAGTGTCTTCCCCATACAAAAAAATGTCGAACATAGTTTGTATGGAAGAAACTCTCAGTAAAAACAATACCAAAAGTCAACTAAATTTTTATGGGCTGCAAAACTTCATTTTCAAAATTTTTATAAAAAAGTCTGAATAGAAAGTTGCGAATTTGTATGCAAAATTATTGCATTTTCCCGAGTTTTGCACAAAGTTTAGAAATTTTATTTTTATGTTTTCTGATGTATTTAGTATAAACTGTATTTTTATAAGGAACAAAAAAGGTACATGCATTGTGGAAAATTCTCTGTACTTTAGTTGTGATAAATTGTTTTGTTTTGCTGGTGTACATTGTAATGATCTCATGTTTTTATGTTTTTTTTGTCAAAATAAAATTTTACTACATCCTTTCGTACGTAATTTTTGTCGAAACGAAGTGGAAGGCAGCGAGAGGCCTCTGCCCCCCCTTAAGTGTCCCGGTTTGGCAACAGAGATATCTGGCAGCCCTAGCTAAGTTGCCACGTTACATTTGTGACATTCCGATAAAACCAAATATGTTTGTGATTTTAGAAGTTTTGATTTTATTAAAAAAAAATCAATGTATTTTCCTGCAGAAATCGTAGACTTTTATTTAATGTTTATTAAAATTACACCTTAAAATACTAGTTAATGGTTGAAATATTGGAAGGGAACAGAGAAATTGAGTGTTTTGTCAAAAATTAACAAAAATTACCAAAATTCGAGATAACTTATTTTACTGGATATAGAGAAATAATTGCCACTTTTCACTTGGCTGGCCGAGATTTCTTCAATTTTACATTTTAGAATTTTTGTGTCGGATTGACAAAGTTGCGCTTGAGGGTGATGAATTTGCGGGGAGATGTGCTGCTGTAGTATTTAAGAATGGAATATCTTGACCTTGAGAAATATGCGAATGCGTTTATGATTGAAATAGTTATTGTTGTATTTGAGTATACGTGTAATTATGTGCATATGTATGTATGCTGCCGTGATTTGTACATATGTACATTTATATGCATGTTCGTAGTTTTTTTGGCAGTAATATGCACATACATATATATGCATGTAAAAACGTTATCAAGTAATGGAGCATGTATGTACATACATATATATGCGTGGGAAATGCATTTTCATTTGAATCCAAACCTATTGGGGCATATTCGTAGTTGAAATAAAGTTTGCAGCTTTTCACAGATATTCCATTGAAAATAATGTAAAAAAGCTATAACTAATTTTAATGCCGACTTTATTTTAACTATGAATATGCCCCAGTTATTTATGTACATATATAAATACGAGCATTGCAGTGAAAAATGATCATGCAACACATTTTTTGTCAAAATAAATGTTCATAAAACTCAAAAATAACTTTTCGAGAAAAACAACTTTGAAGTTAGTTAACAAGCGCATTGCATTTGTACACTTTTTAGTCAATGTGTCCATATTTAAAATTAATTTGTGAAAAAACTAAGGCAGCTAGAAAGCTGTGGTTTGTTGCATTGAAAATAGTGTAGCATCTACCATGCGAATCGGTAAAAAAGTAAACTCGATTTTTTTTACCCAAAGCGCCTCTGAAATGCCTACGGCAAATCTGAATCGATCACAATCACCATTTTACGAAATGAGGATTGGGCACCAACGTACAATTCATAATGTTTTAAATAAGTAGAGCAATTACTGAAAAAAAAACACATTCAATGCATATCCAATAATTTATGACTGAATGACGATGGATACTGAGGTGACACTCAGATGGCGCCGTGTTCAATTCGGTGTACTGCGCTGTGCCGAGTTAGTTCGCTGACACCACAGGTGGCGCTGGCATTGTTGAGCTAGCGCCAAAAAATTGCGCTATTACCCATGGCTTGTATATTTCAAACGAATTCTGTCTATTCCGGATGTGAAATGAGATTATCCGGAATGTATTAAGAAACACAGCCCAAATGTTCGGAAAAGGGTGGCTACAAAAAGGAAATGCATGTACAGGGTTGCAATTTTGCAAGGACACTTGTTTTTTTTCGTTATTAACAAAAAAATTTCCAGTTTGCTTTTAAAATTTGTAATTTTTGAATTATATTGCTTGTTTTTTATTACGCAGTTTTAAATTGTAGTATGATTTAGTGAAAGTTTCAGAGTGCCTACAGAATATCATTGCCTACTTACATTTATACAGATATAGCGGAACAATTGCCCGAGCTGGGAATTGAAATTAATTGACTTATATTGCAGCAGTTACGAATTTTCTGCTGGTTTAACGTGAATTTTAGCAATACGATGCATGCACATGAGCGAATTTTTGGCAGGCAATAGTCAAATGCAAAAGTTAACTTAAGTTACTTTCAGGTAAGCGATTTTTGTCGAGCAATGTTGAATCGCCTAGAAAATCGCCTCATGCAGCTTTACTGAGAGACTGAGAGATTAGATTTTTACACATCAATAAAATACTCTTTATATGTTACGAATGATGTTAGTTGTCCTTAAAATACGTACTATCAATTCTTTTACGGTAAAAGTCAATTTTTGAACATTTTGAGTTTAACTTAACATATCGTCACCCGTATGGCAGAAACATGAATGTGTAAAAATTACGAAACTTTACATTTATGCAATTGGAATTGTAAAGTACATACATATGTGCTTTCCGTGCGCGCATAGTATTCTGGGTTTTGGTATATTATAAAACATCCAAAGGTTAATCAAGTCAACCCAATAACTCAAAACTGATAAATTTGCACATTCATGTTCTGACATAAGGGCGATTAATTTTATTTCTTATCAATGTAGTCTTTATAATAATTTATAAACACAATTCTATATTCATCAGATATTATGTCAAGTGCTTTAAGCATCGAATTTTTTTCCAACTGCGTACATTGGCATTTTTCGATTGCAATTAAATCCCACATATATGTCATAGTAGCCACATACTCAATGGACTGTAAACCACATTGATCGGCAGTGCCCTCCAGACAAAATTTTAAAATGCGTACAATTTCATTCAACTCTTCATCAATAAATTCACAACCAGCTAAAATTAAATCATAAATATTCAAATTGATAACTTCAGAATTTTTAGACTACAAATTACCTGTATATGAGATAATACATGCGTTTACCAACTCCGATGCCAACGTTAACTTTAAGGAATGAAACCCCAAAAGGAAATCATCAACAGTTTTGAAAATACGTAAAAGTTTGACCCGCTTTTTGACACTGTTTGTTTGTTTTAGTAATTCTTTAAATTCTCTAAACCATTCAATATCCGATTTCTTTTTGCATTTGGTGCAAGCTACTCCTTCCAAAGGGACTTGGTTTTCATATACCGTTAGCCACCAAATGAGGTTCGAGCTATTATCTACATCTGGTACGAATTCTTTTTGGCACTTTGGATTTTGGCATTTGTATAAATGATACTTCAACTAAAGCAAAGGTTAAAAAAGAGGTTTATATGTTGTGATATAAAAACAAATTCTTACGTAGGCCGAGTCAGGATTTTTTTTTTGGCATTGCGCACAGATACAGTCAAAGTGATAAGTATCTTTTAGGTAGCTCTGGCGGAAAGTTCTTAGCGACTTTCGGTGATTCAGAGTGTAGCAATTAAATATTTCTGCTCCGGTTTCTATGTCTTTTACAGCCAATGCGTAGAAATTCCTTCCAGAGAATTTCGGACACAAGGTAGGAGCACAAGCATGATTACATATGCTAAGATATGAGAGGTTGGCAGCAGAAACCTCTCGGAATTCGCTGAACATATGCAACAAGCCGCGACGCAGATGAAAAGGCTTTGCCCATACGTTAGGTACCAACAGAAGCCCAACAAGGTTACCTGCTGATGATACATCATAGCAAGATGGTGTAATCGAAACGCATGTATGTGCATTTACAATAAATTGACCGATGTGGCGAAGTATCAGAGCACCTAAAATATAAAATGATAAAATCTTAATTACAACGAAATATGGCAGTTAGAATCGGGAGGTTGACTTTAGCATAATACACCATTCGCAGTGTATATTGTAAATGTTGTACTACCATGTGTAGCAAATATAAAAGATATAATTTTGATGTCTGCAACCCTCTCCCAATATTCCTATAAAGCCGCATACAAATTAACTTTTAGTTTGGATAATCAGGTGCATTGTGATAAAGTCAATCTCCTGACTTTAGTAGTTATTCCTTATTGACACCAATGTGCATACATATTTACAGTGCCAGCTTAGAGTGAAAATTGGTACACGCACTTGTGAGAACTTACTTACATTTTGTTAGAGGTTAAGGGCCGGTTGTTCAATGTCCGATTAGCACAAATCGGAGGTAGAAGCTCCGGTTAAGTACAACGACTGCTTTATCGATCACATGCTACATGCATGATGTCGAAATCGTCGATAGCGTAGTGGTAGTGATAACCAGACATTGAACAACCTGCCCTAAGTCGAATTCTACTGATTCGTATTTGGTTAGATACATACCGCTCATTTACTCCAATAATGTCATAACTCAACAAAGCAAAACTCGAGAAAAACGGGTTTAAAGTTTTAAATTTACATATATGTAGTTACTTTAATTCCCAAAGGCCCTAACCGACACTTTTTTCGGAACTGCGTTTTTCACAGATTTTGGTAGGATGTATTAAAATACCCGTTCAATAAAAATTATGAAGGGTTGGTACCAAAAATAATGGAGTTACATGCCACTTTTTACAAAGCCCTCCCTCTTTTTGATACTCATGTTTTTTTCTTCTCCTGTAAAATAAAAAATATGTTGGTTAGGGCCTTTGAGAATTAAGGAGACGATATCTCCCACAGTAAAAATTAATACATATTTAGTTCTAGTGAAATATTGTTAATCGATACAGCTATGAAACTGTTGCATAACATAAAAGAAGATGTAGTAGTAGTAGTAGATTCTTTATTTAGCCGTAGCTATTTAAAACTTTCAGGTAGTTTAGAAATACAAAATGTATCTTAAGAATAGTTAATTGACTTATTGTGAGCTATAATGTGGTAGTTTTTGCATACTTAACTAAAAAATGTATTTTTTGAATTAAGCCACTATTGAAGCAAATGAGCGACATGTACCTATCTTTTGCTAAAAAAAAAAAATCGTATAGATTTTTGCAAAATGTTTGAAAAAAGCTAGGGGTCCCGGAGTTTTTCTTCCCTCCAGTAAACTTAAAAAAACTAGTCATAACAAATTTGTTCTCTAAGCCAGTGATATGCATCTTACTTGTGATTAACTCCCAGTCGGTTTGCTTGAGATTAGTGCTCTTCATACTTTTAAAAAAATGTGTATGGTCTTTGAGATACACAATTAACAGTTCAGCTACTAAAGCAAACCATATTATATCTGATAAAGACATTTTGGCCAAATGGGTAACCATGCATAGCGTTTGTGCATAATTTACACCCGGTCTAGTATGCAGCAGTCCTTTTGGTGATGTCAAATCAAGCCATAGTTCTGTGGGATCCTTTTTATGCTCTACAATCGGAACAATTGCTGGCAGCTCTTCCAGTACTACTCTTAGCGCCAGGTGTGAAATGCCGATTTGCGCAAACAAGCCTATTAAATGTCCAATGCATTCATTTTGATGCACTTTGAAATGTCCTTTTCGGCAGGCTAATGAGCAGTAAATAACTTTCCCATTACAGCCGTGGCAAGGAAAGGGAATCATTAACATAGCACCGCATTCTTGACACATTTGACAACCACCGACAGGCACAAAAGAGCTTGCTGTTTCACTGAAAATCACTTCCCCAGATTTTATCTCCCTCGTTGCAATCATGTAGCGTCCGCGGGTAGTGCTTTTTGTATCAATGCTGGAAGTTTATGAAATAAAAGATGTTATTGTTGCCAAAGCATAGAATGTACATATTGTCGATTGGCGTGCAATACCACGTATAAGATAGACCGGAAAGCTCACAAAAGAGCAAAGAAACTTATTATCCGACTTTAAAAAACGGTGGAAGTTATCGATTCGTCGCAATTTTTATTTTTTATTTTTGTTTTATGTACATATGTTACCGCATAACTTTGGACCACGTTAACCGATTTCTGTTAAGAAAAGGTGGCACCTCAGAGGTGGATTCCGTGAGTCATGACTAATTTGGTAATCATAAATTTGTATAAGGTATTCCGCCCCTGCCGACGGTATGTATGTCTTACTCACATCCTTGTTGCTTCTGTCATCGATACTTCTTTTCTATATTCCTTTCCAAACTCGGTTTGCTTTTGCCTTTCATTATTATTTAATATTTCCAGTCCTGCATGCAGCTCTTGTACTCTCATAGTGAAGCTCTCATTTAAATTCCAGTCTTTTAGTTCTTGCAAATGCGCCTCCAATTTCATTGCATCCTTTAAATACAATGCGCAAAACGCCTGACGTGCTATAATTTTGTGCAATAAACGCGGTGGATACATGTTTGTCTCAAGTACACAACAACAATCATCATATGCTTGCTGGTAGTATTTCAATTCTTGCAAGGCCATTGCCCGGTTAGCATAAGCTAGCGCCAAAGGTTCTGTATTGGCTACGGCAGCGAAAATAGCTTGTGTATACCGTTGTCCAGCGGTGATCATATCTCCCTTATTGTAATCAGTTTTTGAGCTATACAGGACATTCCCTTCTTCGCGCAGACGAGTTGCATTTCGAGCTGCATTCTCTTTATCGTTAGTACTTAATGCACATTTGGCTTTTAGTGCGCTAAGCCATGCTGCGGACATACGACGTCTTAGTGGGAAATTTTCATCATTTTTAATAGCTAACATAAATTGAAACTCATTTCCATAGGTCACAACTCTAGTGTTAGCAGCTTGATATGACAAAAGTTCTGGAAAACTGAATCCGTCCATGTTCAACCGTAGCGGCCACTTGGTAACGTTTACGGATACTTTCCTTCACCATCCATAATCATAATCAGCTGATTGCAATGTTTTTATTCCAGTGTAGTGTAGAAATGGGATACCATGAACCAAAAATACTGTCTTTCGTTCATGAGTTTCACTTTTAATTTTTTTGACATAAACTTTGCTTACTGACGTTTCTACTTTTCGTAAATTGTTGAAGTAGCACTGCCACCTAATCAAATACTTATTTGGGAAATTTTAATATTTTTTTAAGGAATTTTTATTTTATTAAAAAGTAAGTTGTAACACACGAGGTAAATATACTTACATGATTGTTCGTATTAAAAGAGCTGCGTATTGATTTAAATTGCTATAAATTAGTCTGTTCCTTTGAACTTCGGACTAAAACCTGTGGAACTGTCAAACTACAATTTTACGCTCTCAAATGAGAGTAAAAGGAGAACAGATGCAGAAGTGCATAGGAACGCAAAAAGCACCATTTCCTGTAAAAACGTCAGACGGTTTGTTTACATGTCATTGGTACTCCACTGATTTGGCTGAAATATCACTAAATAATTATTAAAATCTATACATATTTAAATATTTCGTTGTTTACTTCCATTTTTTAACAAATATAAGGTTCTTTGCTTTCACCGCTTTCTGTTTTTGTTTGCACATGTAAATCAGCTGATCGTTTGACACTTTTCATGAACTTACAGGAAAAAATACTCCGGACTAAATCCTGTAACTTCTGACTAGGAACAGTTGCTCAGTTACTCTCTCAAATGTGTTCCCACTTACAGGTTTTATGTCAATAGGAACGACTTCCTGTAAGTTCTGACTAAATCCTGTAAACCGGACTGCTATTGGAACAGACTAAATGTAATAATGCAGCGTTTTTGCTGCATTTAAAATGCAACATTTAGCACTTTCGAACATATGTTTTCGAAGAGCGTTCATGCTATAGCATTTAGCAAATGAACATTTACGCGAGTTTGAAATCGTATGCTTTTGACAAACAGCCGTGTTCCAGTCTCTTATTTAGATCCGTATATATTACGATCAATTCTCACGCAGAAGATAATGTGCAAAAACCCTACTGAAAAGGAAAAAATAAATTTTAAACCAAAAATTCAATACAAAAACTTGAATTGTTTTAAACATAACCGAACATTTGTTTGTGTATATATTCATTTGTTGTTGTTGTTGTAGCAGCAGTACTCAACCCCCCGGGGTTTCGTCAAGGGTCGTCTTCGTCGACTCGACAAGCCTGAGGCCGAGAAAGCGGGCAGCGTCTATAGGCGCGGTCCATAGTGCTTCTGGTGTCAGGGTCGTGGGGTTAGAGGCGCATGTGAAGAGGTGTTGGGTGTTGTGTGGACCTTGCCCGCATGCAAGGCATGTGTCTGCCCCTTCTGGGTTCAGCCGGGAGAGATAGCTGTTTAATCTGCGGCACCACCCAGAACGGAGTTGTGCTAGGGTGCACCTGGTCTCTCTTGGCAGTTCGGCTTCGTCGATGTTGATGGGTGGCGGTCGACCACCTAGAACGATGTGGTCGTTTCTGGTGCTATTAGACTGGGGAGGAGTAGTGCTTCCATTGTCTTTGCCACTGGGGATAGGAGGGAGATTAGCCGGTAATAGTCTCCTGCGTCCGCCTTCTTACCTGGCTTAAGGAGGGGGATGATCCTACCCATTTTCCACATCTCAGGGATGATCAGGGTGGTCAGTGACAAATTGAAAGCTGCTGTGATGTACTCGACTCTCGACTTTATTCGTTGTACCGTGGTTTCACAGCATGCTTTCGATAAACATCGACTTCACATCACTGCGGTTGTTCTGGCTATTTCACACAATTAACAAGAAAATTATACCTTATTCTTTTGCATAATCATGCAATGAAAATAAAAATGACATAAACGGATAATCAAACTTGACATTATTTTATAAAAATGTAATTTTTCCAAAATATCGTAAACAAAAATCGATACATTTTCACACTTATTTTGCTATATCGTAAACTAAGTCGAAACTACTTAGTAGAAGTCTGAAATGCGACTATGAATAGAGATAAATTTTAAGTTGGTACTTAAATTTAAGTTGCAACTTTGTTAGTTTCGACTTAGTTGCTGGACTATGAATACGCGCCATTGTTTTTACAAAAATACCAACTAAGGCTATCTGCACACTTGTCGTCCAATCATATTTGCGTTATCGTCTCGCCCTGAAATTTTGAGCCGAGCACATGCATGTCGTTATCGGCTAGTTATCGGCATATCGTAGAAGATGCAGAAACGGATAAGTACGGCTCTGTCCTTTGCTAATCGTTGTGCACGCATTGTTTGTTTACATTTTATGGGGAAAAATTAGTGAAAAAGTTAATATTTGCATTAAAATTGCATAAAAATTAGTATTTTTTTGCATAAAATCTGTGGAAATGATTAAAAAGTGGATAATTGCATTAAAATTCAATAAATGTGAGCGTTTTAACTATAAAGTATGACGAAATTGTAAAAATTCTCTGTGTGCATGCACAAAACACAATTCAGGAAAAGAAAAGAAGAGATATTACTGAAAACTTATGTCTAGAATTGTTGCAGCACAGTCTATATTTTAAAAAATTTCAGGTTTTTGTAAATATTTCGCGAACATATCCACCATAAAAAAAAAAAAGAAAATACCTGCTCCAAGGGAATTTTTAGACGCCAAATGAATTGAAATATCCCGACCGAGTGTGCGAAAGTGTAGTGGTCATGAAATCCTTGCATCATGATTGTTACGATGAAGCAACTATGACTGGACGACTGGAGTTCACATTGCAATAACCAATTTTTCGATTTTTGCCCACTGTGCGTCGATACTTTTCGGCATTCGCGATATGTTCTCAGTACATGTGAAAAAGTATCGAGTTCTCGATACTACGCAGTACTCATGAAACGTATCGATATTCTGTACTCGGTACACATATTGTTCTAACACTAGTTGGTTGCTGTTTTGTCAAAATTCCGTGTAGTTGATCTGGCTTTCATTAATTATACATTAATCGAGGTCCAATAATGAACTTGCAACAACTAGAAGAAGAGGCGCGACAGGCAGCCTTGAAAGACATAAAGAATATGCTCCAGCGGCCAGGTCAACTTGAAAAGGTGGATCAATTTCGACATCGAGTTGCAAGAAAGAAAGCTTCGGTGGAGGCACTACTGAAAACGGGAATGCAAAATCAATTGGATGGGGTACGAGTTGGTTTAAAACAGTTAGAAACATGTTTACAAGATGTTAAGGAAGTTCGCCAGCGCATGCTAGAAGTGGATCGATTGCTGCAGGGAGTACCGGAGATCTATGATGCATTAGAGGTGGTACGAGAAGAGAATACCAAACATTCCCAGTATGCTACTGCAATGGAGAATCTCAAACATATATTTAATGTTGAAGCAAGTGTTCAAAAAACGATGACACTTATTGATGAAGATAAACTTCTGAATGCACACCAGTGTCTCGCTGACTTGGAGAATTCTCGTGATGATTTGCTATACGAATTGCATAAACAACCTAAGCAGCATGCATCCGATAAAATTACTTTAAAGCGGCATTTTGAAAAAGTTGATACTGTTTCCCAAGCACTGGAAAAGAAACTACGTCTCATATTAAGCCGTACTTTAAATACTGTGCGCAAGGAACCTACTGTTATTGTGACAGCGTTGCGTATAATCGAACGGGAGGAAAAGAATGATCAATTCGCCTTGCAGCAGCAGAAAGTAACTGGATTCCTGCCACCTGGACGACCAAAACAATGGCGTTCGATGGCCTTAAAAATGTTAAAGGAAGCTGTTGTAACACGCATAGAAGGATCGAAATTGGAAGAGCGCGCAGATAATAAAATGTGGTTAGTGCGTGATTTGGAAATTTTGCGTCAAATCATTTTGGAAGATTTGAGAGTTGTAAAATCATTGTGCGTCCCATGTTTTCCCCCACATTATAACATCTTCAAGGAATACGTGAAAATTTACCATGAAGGACTTTCTTCATATGTAAGTAACGTAAACATATAAGGTTATTTAGCACAGCTTTGATATTTTTTCAGCTCGATAATATTGCAAAATCAGGTCTCGAAGGAAATGAATATGTATCACTGTTATCTTGGGTGATGAATACATATCCCGGCGCAGAGTTGATGTCCCATCCTGACCTAAAAGTCGATATCCAGCAAGTCGTTGGGCCATTGTTGCGACCGGAACACTTGAAGTCGCTTGAGGATGAATATTTGCGTAATATGCAACGAAACTACCAGGAATGGATGACTAAAACTGCAGAAACGGAAAGGCAAGAATGGTTCTCTGATCAGCCTCCTGAACATGAACAATATTATCATACTTCAGCCCCAGTTATCATCTTCCAAATGATCGATCAACATCTACAAGTGACTAACACCATACACTCTGACCTGACATTCAAGGCGTTGGTGATGAGTATTCAACAAGTAGAGGTTTTCGGACAATCTTACTTAAAGAATGTTATCGAACTAAAGGAACACCATTTTCGTAATCGCGATCAAATAAAATACTTTACTCACTACATAATTACTATAGTAAATAATAGTCAGCAAATGGTGGAGTTGGCTCACCAAATGAAGCAACTGTATTGGCCAAAATCGCGCACTGAACATTATGAAGATTTTGAAAAATTGCTTACCACATTCCAAAGGATTAGGGCACATGCTACCAGTTATTTGCTTGAAGAAGCCTTCCTGGACATGGAGGGTCATTTTAATGACTTATTCACAATGAAATGGCTGGGAACCACGATTTCTGTTGACACCATTTGTATTACCTTGTTAGACTACTTCCAGGTATTTTTTAATTGCTGCTTAGATATAAAATCATAACTTAATTATATTAATACTAACAGGATTATAAACACTTACGGCCTAATAACTTTGAGATGGTCATAAATGAGGCACAAAAACTACTTGCAAAACGGTACATACGCGCTTTGCTTTCCAAACGTTTATCAAAGTCAAGGAGCGAATGTGAAGCGATCACTACAAAAATCAATCAGGAAGCGAAACGGTTTAAGCAGTGCTTCGAGAAAATCGCACCGAATTTAACAATGAGTGACTCCCCGCTAGATTTGATACCGACACT